TGTAGAGTCCAAATTAATGTTTTTAATTAGAGGCTGCACCACAGCATGTTTAAAAGAAGCCGGAACAACCCCTCATACAAGGCAACTATTTATAATAGATAAAACACTAGACCCAACTATATCAAAAGCCTGTTTGATTAGTTTTGATGGAACATTATCAAGTGGGGAGTCTGTTGGCTTTAACTGTTCTACTATTTTCGCCAAGCCAGAGATTAAGAACCTCAAAATGATCAAACACCACATGGCAATATAGATGTACAGATGGATTAATAACAGCAGGAGGAATTTGAAATCTAATATTTTCAATCTTTGAAATTAAAAATCTCCACAAGTTGATAGTATTAAATAATACTCTAGGTCTATGACAGTTTCTCTCAATAATGTCAGAGAAATATTTTGCCTTCGCTGCTCTAACAGCACTTTGATATGTATGCAAGGACTCCCTTAACATTTCATTTGACACCTGGAGCCTGCAATTTACACTCTGCTCTTCTGCAGATTTGTCTAAGTGCTCGTGTATTATCATTAAACCAGAGTTCTGCCTTAGATTTTACATGCCTCACCTTCAAGGGTGCAACAGCATCTAGAATACTTGTACATACAGAATTAAAAGAACAAAACAGCGACTCTGGGTCCAAATAAGATGATGGGTTTTCAAAGGCAGAAACATTGATTATTCACAAATGTGAAAAATCATTAATAACGCTAGAATTTATCATACGACACAGATGTGCACTAGAGCGTGATTTAGTAATCTGACAGGTTGACTAAAAAAAGGTAAAATTTCACCATGTGGTGGGTTTTCCTAGATCGCATCACATATTTTATCAACAAACTTTTATTGTCTGCTAATTGTATTTGCGTTAAGAAAATGTTTGCTTTTTGGGCTTTCTGTTTTAAATTTCTCAATAAAGCTTCTGAATTGAATTGAATTGAAACCCTTTATTGTCATTGTATTTTTCTGCACACAATGAAATTAAGAGCACTGTTCCTGACTGGTGTAAGAAAACAAACATATAACCACAGACAATAAATAAGAATATAGACTGTGTACAGTACAATTATAAAAGTATATACAACAAGTCATAATATTGCACATTGAGTAATCTGAGTAAAGTGAGCATTGGCAGCACTGCACATTGACCTCTACATTGATATGAAACAGTAAGTATATACAAAAATTACAAACTGAAATGGGTTAAGTGGCATTAGTGATAAGTATCCACTTAGTACTGGTATTTTTGACACTTACGAGGCAAAGGGATAAGAACGCTTATGCTTACCGTTCTTCTAAAAACAATAACTAGAAGTTGTTCTGGCTCCTGCAGCTTTCTTTCCCTCTCTTAAGGTTGCCAAGTTTTCACAGTAAAACCCATCCAATTGCTACTCAAAACTAGCCCAACACTAGCCCAATCGCTTTTCAGGGGGATTCCCAGTAAAAATCGCGTTCCAGGAGGTAAAATATATGTTTTTTTGGCAGGGTTCCCCTGGTAAAAGTCACATTATAAAATTCTTCTTACAAAATGTTGTTCCTACTGACAGCATGTAATTATGTAATTTAATTGTCATTTCATCATGATAATATTATGGATTATCAATATATATTTGTAGGCCCCCCTCGTTGAGGGCCCCAGTTCCACTACTGTTTCACCTGTGCACAAAATTCAAAACCAGAAACAACAAACTAGCGAAATACTATCTTGAATCATTTAAAGCTGTAAATCAGTTATTTAAAACAATGTGAATATGACAAAATTAAACAGATGCACGAAGTAATGTCCCCCCTTATTATTTTCCCTCCTCTCTACTCCAGTCCAGCGGGTGGCGCGAAAACACAGACGCTTGTTTGCTAAACACCATTAAACCGCAGAGGAAGAATTTCAGTTTCACAGCGCACTCTGTTGTTTTGTTAGGTTGGTGTTTATTCTTCATTCATATTTAGTGACTGTTTGTGGTATATAGGCTTACAAAGCTTTAATCCTCCGAGGTCTGATGGGGTTTTGGGGCCCTGGAGAAGTTTTGACATGACCTAACATTTGTGCTTTTTTCAGTATCTTAAAAACATATTAATGACTAAAGTCTGATTACACTGTAATCAGCACAAACTGTGCTACAATAATACACGAGCAGCATGAAAATAGCCTACATGTTTGTGTTTTTGAGAAAACATTTATGCGTGGTTAGTAAACAATGAAATTTACCAAACACAACAACATCCCATAAACCTTGAGTTTCCATTAACATTCCCTCTTATCTCTTATTCATTCAGACAAAACAGTTAATTAAACCTCACAATCATCAGATTAAGCAATGAAAACACATAAACTAAGGAAAATAAGAAATAAAAAAAATATAAAAAATGAATAATCAAATTATATAAATGGTAAATGATAAAAAATAATAATCAAACAATAAATTACATAAATGGCTAATGATTCTAAATGATTATACGAATAACTGATTATAAATTAATAAAAAAATAAAATAAAAAGATAATTCAAATGTATGGTTGCTCTCTTGTTGCAACGCACAGATCCACAGATTACATCAAAATGATCAAAAGTTTGTAATACAATTGTCTACTTTCCGCTGCTATATCAGGGTTCATTTTTTAACAAGTTAATGAAGATTTACTATTTTTACTTTTGTTGCAGAGTTGATTGAAGACAATTGTGATCAGTGCGGGAAGAGTTTCAGACGATCATCAAACCTTAAGATGCACATGAACATCCACACTGGAGAGAAACTGTACACATGTGATCAGTGCGGGAAGAGTTTCTCACACTTGTCACACCTTAAGATACACATTAACATCCACACTGGAGAGAAACCGTACACATGTGTTCAGTGCAGCAAAACATTTTTGAGGGCTTCAGTCCTGAAGCAGCACCTGAGAGTTCATACAAAGGAGAAGCCACATTCATGTCATTTGTGTGGAAAGAGTTTTTCATGTTTACAATATTTGAAAGTACATCAGAAAATACATACTGCTGTGAGAGAGTACATGTGCTTTGAGTGTGAAAAGACTTTTACTACAGCAAAGTGTTTAAAACAGCACGAGAGGATCCACACAGTAGAGAAACCTTACAAGTGTTCACACTGTGACAAGAGATTCAGTGATTCATCAACTCTGAAAAGACATGAGAGGATCCACACTGGAGAGAAACCGTATCACTGCACTGCATGTGGGAAGTGTTTCAGTAGTTCATCTGCTTTACACAGTCATACAAAAAACATTCACAGTAAGTAGATCATCTTCAGATCCAGCACTTTCAGATCTGATGCTGTGTCCTCAACAAATCCTCATCAAACGTAATTTATTCCAAGTGCGCTCTTTTATCTGTGTCATGAACAATGCCCCATTCACAAATGAATCTCTCTTTTGAGTCAATTTGCAACGTTGCAAACAAGGTTGCACAACGGTGTGCATTTGTTCAGATCCCTGCACACACTGAATCGTCTGAAGGGGTTTCTCATTCGTTCCTGGAAATTGAAGAACAGGGAGAACATAAAGACCTTCAGACTATAGACCAATTTAAAGTAGACGTCACATTTACGTCACTTGCAGCTGCGTCCGCA